ATCTTTCTTCTATCATTGACAGTCCCTCTAGGTTGTGGGCTGCTTGCCTGTGTTCCTGAGAAGCATCTACGGTACCAGTCTATAGAGTGTGTTTTCTTTAGTGAATTACCGGTATGTTTACCGGTAATAAACTTGCACTGTTTTATGTATATGTTTGATTACATACAGCCTTGTGACAGTTTTCCTGCATGTCATAAGCATTTGAATATAAATTAAAATGTTAAAATCAAATCTGATATTGTTTTACCTTTTATTTGGTGTGTGGAAGGTGTGCGGAAGAGGGGGTAGTCTTATACGGCGAGTATATAACAAACTCTGTATTTTGAGTGGAAATGTTAGGGGGTCGTCTTATACGCCCAGTCGTCTTATACGCCGGCAAATACGGTACTTTTCTCATCAGGTCTGCCTTTCCCGTGCTAGTGCTGAATTAAGTTGTTGAAAACATTTCTTTCTCATACAATAATTTTACATGGTTTCCTACGGATGCTGCATTCAGTTCTTTTCTCAACATGTTGCTAACAGTTAGCTTGTTACACATGGAGAAATGCTAAATGGCGTGTGGATGAAAACCACTATCGGCTTAGGTTAACCTACCTCAGTCCATTCCACTTGAAATCTGCCCAGCGGAGGTGGCTGTGTGGGGCACCACATTCGCTCCGTGGTGCTGGCTTTAACGGAGCGTGGCTCACCTGTCATTCTACATGGGATATCGCGCGTGTTCTGGCCGTGGGTGTGCATTATCCTGACCAGTTAGATAGGACCGCCTGTCCCTCCTTGTCCAATTGTGGCTCAGGGTTTCACACAGCACGGGGCTGATGTGCCTTTTGCTTCTGGCCCTTTCCTCCTCATACTGTGCTCTTGCAGATCTCGTTTCTGTAGCCAGCTTTCCTTTGTACTCATCTGTTACACGTTGTGGAATTCGATGTTCATAAGAGACAAACCCTTCATCTCCTAAGTTTGCCTCCGTGGTGTTTGCTTTCCAGGATCCTGTCTGGCCCAGGACCGCGGGAAACTGGAGGCGCAGATCGAAAGTTTATGCAAAGAGAACGAGTCTCTGCGGAAGACGAACGAGCAAGACGGCGACACGCTGCGGATTAAGTGCAAAATCATAGAGGACCAAACCGAGACCATCAGGAAATTAAAAGCTGTAAGTTGGGCGTTTATTTTGGGAAGACGGCATATGGCAGGTGTGAGAATCTGGATCAGAGTAGAGTCTCCAATAAATGCTTTCTCTGGGCGAGTCCAGCTGTTGTGGAGTTTAAGGCGGGTTATCCTGTGTTCCTTTTGCAGTACTTTTCCCTTTGCTTTTAAAGGTGATACCTGGCATTCATTTATTGACTTGAACTTACATTTACTTCAAGGTTTTATGAAGAATGTTGTTATTGCCCTTTGAAATAACTAGAAACAGTCTTGGTGAAGGGTTAGGAACCACAAGAAAATGAACGTTTTATATGTTTAAAATATCCTTTCAAGCATTGCTTAATATCTCTCAATACTGCTCTCACTTCTCAAACTTATGGCAAACCTACTCTCATGTAGGTGAAGGTATGTGACTAGATGGCAGGATTCATGCTTGTCCCGAGGCCACCACGTGCCAGTTGTACCCACCTCTTCTTACTTGGGCCCACCTGAGAGAATGCTAACAGAATCACTTATTTCAACGTGTAGAAAATCTCCAGAGAAAGTTTCTGAAGATTGTCCTGAGCACTAAAGCAAACTTAAATTCCAAACTTTTCTTAAAGTGTAAAAATAACTGAAAAGGGAGTTTTCATTTTTTAAATTTTTAAAATATATTTTTATTGAATGCGGAGAGAGGAAGGGAAAGGAAGAGATAGAAACATCAGTGATGATAGAGAATCACTGTTCGGCTGCTTCCTGCACCCTCCCTAGTGGGGATCCAGCCCACAACCTGGGCATGTCGAACCGTGACCTCCTAGTTCATGAGTTGACACTCAACCACTGAGCCACACCAGCTGGGTGAAAAGGTGTTTTTAAAGAAACTTCTAAATGGGATTATCACCCAAAAAGTTAGGACCTCAATCTTTAGAGAATTTATAACCACTTAATATTTTTTTTCCTTAGTCATTTTTAAGAAACTTCCTAATTTCATCAAGTATAGAAAATGAAGGACCCTGTTTACTCCCATGTTGCTTTCTCCATAGCTAGATGGGGTATGACTGCTTGAATTGTATTCTTGACCAGTGATACTGGTGTTCTCCCAATTGAAACTTTGGTCTCAGTATATCCAGTATTTCAAATACCTTCCATACATGCCAAGCTGCACCGATAGTTACTGAAATGTTTTAGCTGTAAGCTGTTTTTCTTGTTTTAAAAATCTAGCCAAGCTTATTGTCTTCTGATAAGGTAAATAAGAATCAGGAAGACTGGTTGTTTGCATTTAAATTTCACAAAGCAAAGCAGATGGTATTTAGTCTAGCCGGTCACTGTGCTTGACTTAACCACACAGTCACCGGTGCCTCCTCAGCCTGAGGACACGCAGAGATGGTGGTCAGAGCTTCTTCCGCCGCAAACTCAACCTAACTGACAACTTAAAGGGGCGGTGACTTAAAATGCAAATTTTGGAGTTTGATGTTTACACCTGAGTAGATTCTCTAGTTAGCTTCTGACTGTGGAAGTTTGAAACAGAAATTCTTTAAAATGCTGTTTCCTCATGTTATTTTGGTACTTTTCAGTAAACATGGAGCACGAGACCCTGGTGCTGCAGTGCTATTCTGATTATTAAGAGGGTTATTTCATAAGAACCTTTCATGGCTTCTGTGGGTTCTTGATAACGTGTGTGAAGGCTGCCCACGCCTAAGTACTTCAGGGAGTTGTGGGAGAAAATGAGCAGTTCATGGCTTATGCAGCTGTTAGTCAAGACTCCCTGACTACCTTTCTTAGAATCCTTAGCTCTGTCACACCCTGAGGAGCTGCACCGTGTTCTGTGTGACACTGAGAATCCACCCTAAAGTAGACTTGTCCAGCATTTGTTTGCCCCCATCTTCTTCCCAAGAGGAATGAGAGGCAAGTGGGGCAGGGAGAATCGGGGCAAAAATAAGACCCTCTTCCACACTCACACCCACAGCCCTGTGCTGGTGCACAGCGGGTCGTGCAGGACCTGCAGACATTGCACATGGCACATGCCTCAGGCGGGTGGACCCTCCTGGTGCCTGACTCACAGCACAGAAGACACAGCAAAAGTCCACCTCAGTCTGGGGGATGTGAGGTCTGTTTGCACGTGACATTTCACTAGTCATGAAATCGGACATTATTTAAAGTGTGTGTGCAGTAGAAATGGTTTAATCCCTTGAGCATCAGTCTTTGCTGTATCCCTGTCACCCACCTAAAGTTTTCTTTCTTTCTGTCCCTTCTACTCTTCCCCTTCTACTCTCTGTGTGATTAGTAATCACTAACTTCCTGAAATAAAAAGTGTGAGTAGCACAAAAATTTTCCCTCTTAATAGACCCTAAACAATAGTCTGTATATCTTTTCTAAAACACTCATTGAACTTTGAATTCATTTTTGTAGTTTTTAAAATAATTTAAAATCATACCTATTTAATTAGGAAATGAGACATCTAGGATTAATAAAGTACTTATTTTTTTTCTTGAAGTGTTTACAGGAAAGAGAGGAACAAATCAAAATATTACAAGAAAACATCTGTGAAATACAGAAATGTACTCAAGAACAACTTGATGAAAAATCTTCACAACTGGATGACATAATTGAGAAACTAGAAAGACACAATGAAAGAAAAGCAAAACTAAAACAGCAGTTGCAAGTAAAGGAATTAGAACTTGAAGAAATTAGAAAAGCTTACAGGTATTCTCGGTGTTTCCTGGCGAGAAGTAAACTGTGGCTTAATAACTTGTCTGACCAATTCTGTCTCTAACATTCCTTCTTCTCTTGTCAGTATCCTTAATCAGAAGTGGCATGATAAAGGGGAGCTCCTCAGTAATCTGGAAATGCAAGTAAAGGAAGTGAAGGAGAAATTTGAGAACAAGGAAAGGAAGCTGAAAGCGGAAAGAGACAAAAGTGTTGAACTACGAAAGTAAGCATGAAGCCCTCAGGCACTGGGGCCGTCTGGGAATGGGGAGGGGCAAGATGGGGGAAAGCTAAAAACATGTTGGATGAAGTTATTTGCCAAATATTGGATTTCCATTCCATTATTTCATTTATAAAGGGAAGGTACTAGTTCCCTCTTCCGTGTTGTGGGCTGTAAGTCTGTGTCTGTTGTCTGTGTTTGTGTGGAAGTGCAGTACCTGAACATGGTAATTATTGTAGGTATGTTGGTCTTATTACTGCGCTTACTGTTTTCATGCTGTCTTCCTGAAAGCAGCCGGTGTGCTTGGCTGTTCGTATGGCTCTCTGAGGAGTACGTTGTCTGGGGCTTTGGGCCAGAGAAGCCGGAGCCCATTTCAAAGGGGGAGGAAGCCGTTCCTGGGGCCACTTGTGTGGGTTTTGTAAGTGCTCTAGAGGAAATGCAGGTTTTATTGTAAACTCTGTAACTAGGCCTATTACAATAGTTTATAAAGTTGACAGCCTTGGAACTATGTAACGCAGTTTCAGGGTCAGTCTCCTGTCGAAATAGAGAGGTATAGACAGCATGCACAGACTCCCATTGTGGTGGCTCCATTCCAGGTGTCCTGGTGTTTCCACTCCCTAAGATTAGAGGAGGCGTTACCCTCTGCAGAAAGGTTTGATGGCAGCATCTGCTGATAGCCCCGTTGCACTGTGCTTTCACAGCTACCCAGGGTCCTCGGCTCAGAACCTATAGCAGAAAAGTGTTCATTGTGGACTTTTTAAACAAAGTCACTCATATCCTATATAATAAAAGGCTAATATGCAAATTGTCCCCACGGACAGGAGTTCGACTGACTGGGAGTTAGACGTGCGCTGACCACCAGGGAGCAGTGGCAGCAGGCAGCCGGGGGAAGGGAGGCCCCAGCCAGCAGCCAGCAGCCGCTAGGGACCCTACCTGTGCATGAATTTCATGCACTGGGTCTCTAGTTTAATAAAAAGGAAGTGGTGTTCTCCCTCTAAGAAACTTTTAGTACTAAACTTTTAACACTAATGTGTTTATTAACCTAGGGTTTTATCTGTTAAGCATTAGCACAGGGAAATCAGACACATCCTCCTATGTAATAAAACTTTAATATGCAAATCGACCAAATGGTGGAATGACCAGTCACTATGATGCGCACTGACCACCAGGGGGCAGACGCTCAATGCAGGAGCTGCCCCCTGATGGTCAGTACGCTCTCACACGGGGAGTGCCGCTCAGCCAGAAGCCAGGCTCATGGCTGGCAAACTCAGCAGCCTCCGCTGCAGGTGGGCGGTAAGGAGCGAGGGGTCCTGGACAGCGAGAGGGATGTCCGACTGCTGGCTTAGGCCCGATCCTCCCTTCCCCCTCCCCCCACCATCGGGCCTAAACCGGCAGTCAGACATCCCCCAAGGGGTTCTGGACTGCAAGAGGGCACAGGCCAGGCTGAGGGACCTCCCCACCCCAGTGCATGTACCAGGCCTCTAGTCTATGTATAAATGTAAACCTGCCTATAGTATACACTTCAGATACGTGTCACACTGCACATCCCTGGGGGAGGTGGCATCCCTGGGAAGGTACTTCCAGGCCCCTCCCACAGGCTCAGGCTGGAGACCAGAGCAGGAGCTCAGAGGCGAGACTCACAAATGGGTGTGAGGCTCCCTGCCCTGTGTTGCTGGCTGCCTCTGCTGGAGGGTGAGTGCCTGTAGCTGGAGTTCCTGAGATGGAGAGCCCTCTGCTACTCAGTGGAGTTATGTGTCCATTGAAATATGAATGTGAGAGCTACCATCTCAGAAGAAAAAGCATCCTAACTTGTATACACACCAAGATGTGAGTCTTGTTTTCTGTTTCAGGGATGCTGTGGAAAAGCTTTATTGTATGGATGATGCCTTTAAAAAACAAGTGGAGGCAATTGTTGAAGCTCATCATGCTGAAATAATGCATCTGGAAAATGAAAAGCAAAAATATATTGATTCTGCAAATTTAAAGGTACTATCAGTAAATTGCACTTGATTATCATTATTGAATTGTTACAGCTAAATAAATTGAGACTGATAAAGAGAAAAGGCAGCATGATTTAATGACCAATACATATGAAGAATGTTGCCAAAACTATCATGAAGCCAGGCCAAAATGTTGGCAGGTTGTAGAATATAATTGCAATGAAACTGAGGTCATAAGTGATACTGGTGTGGACCTGCTCTGTGATCTCTGAGTGAAAGTCACCATCTCCCTAACCAGCTTCAGAGCGAAGCCCCTTCACTTGCACACAAGCAGGGTGAGGAGTGAGTAAGTTAAACACAAGCCATCATTCCCTTGGGAAAGTTCTCAAAAAGTAATATTTTATCGTTAATTAGGGCTCAGGACTATCCCATTTGTCATATTGCTATCACTGAGAAAGGAGCTTTTAATAATAGACATGCTTAAGCTTTCCCCTGAAATTTTCATTCACAGTTTGGGGTCAGACCCTAGTGCAGGGGTGGGCAAACTTTTTAACTCGAGGGCCACAATGGGTTCTTAAACTAGACTGGAGGGCCGGAACAAAAGCATGGATGGAGTGTTTGTGTGAACTAATATAAATTCAAAGTAAACATCATTACATAAAAGGGTACGGTCTTTTTTTTTTTTAGTTTTATTCATTTCAAATGGGCCGGATCCGTCCCGCGGGCCGTAGTTTGCCCACGGCTGCCCTAGTGTTTTTCAAACTCAACAGGTGATTCTCATGTGACACTCCCCGCCCCGCCCCCCTCAACCACCACCTCTTGAGATCTGCTAGCTGAGGGGGCAGTTTTGAAATTCCATTTTCCCTGATTTTGAAGTGGTAATAGGAAACAGGTACAATAGTAGTGTCCGTCCCCCCAATCACCCCCCCACACACACACACACATACACGCCGTTTTGTTTTCTGAGGTTTGGGTTACATGCAGTCAGTTGTCCGAAATATAAAATAGAAAATTCCAAAAATAATTCCTTAGTTTTCAGTTGCACACCATTGTGAGTAGCGTGATGAAACCCGCCCCTCTCTGTCCGGCCGGACATGAATCGTCCTTTGGGGCCTCCCTGCTGTATGTGCTCCCCGCCCTTTTGTCACTTGGAACCACCTTGGTGATCAGATCGATGTCGTGGTATCGCAGTGCTTGTGTTCAAGTAACATTTATTTTACTTGATAACGGCCCCAAAGCGCAAGAGGTAGTGATGCTGGCAACTTGGACATGCCAAAGAGAAGCCATAAAGCGCTTCCTTTAAGTGGAAAGGTGAACATTCTGGACTTAAGGAAAGAAAGAAATCGTATGCTGAGGTTGCTAAAATTTTCAGTAAGAACGAATCTTCTATCGTGAAATTGGGAAGAAGGAAAAAGAAATTCCTGCTAGTTTTGCTGTTGTACCTCAAACTGCAAAAGTTACAGCCTCAGAGTGTGGTAAGTGCTTAGATAAGATGGAAAAGGCTTTAAATTTGTGGGTGGAAGACACGGACAGAAAACGTGTTCCAACTGATGGCAGCATGCTGCTCAAAAAGCACTGAGCCTGTGAGGACTTCAGCAGGGACCCCTGAAACCAGGCCGTTCACTGCAAGTGCAGGGTGGTCACAGATCCAGGGACAGGAGTGGCATTTTATCAGCTCACATCTCAGGAATAGAAGGGGCAGTACAGTGCAGTAAGATGTTCTGAGAGAGATCACATCACGTGACTTTTATTATAGTCCATTCTAAATTCTAGATACTCTAGTTTGTTGTTTATCTCTTTCTGTGCCTGTTTTATAAATTAAGCTTTATCATGGGTGTGTGTGTGCAGGAAACCGTAACATAGAGGAGGTTTGGTTTTATCTGTGGTTTCAGGGTCTTGGAACATATCCCCGCAGATAAGGGGAGACTATCTTCTGTACGATTGGAGACTCAGAAATCAGCAGCTAGAAAAGCGCCCAGCAAGAGAAGTGACAGGAATACTCTGTATCGTTATAGTCAAAGTTGTATGATTAGTGGACATCACTCTCAGGAGTCTGTGAAGAGAGATGGCTAAGGGCTTTGGAAATCATCACAATGAATAAGGAAGTACAACTTGTTCAGAACTTAGTTCTGTATTTCATGTCAAATCAACAGATGTTTCAGATGTTTTATTTAAGATCCGCTGAGTGTTCGGCAAAGGTACATCAGGTACCAAGTCAAGTATCAGGATAGGCCCGTACTTGGCTGAAAGGAAAATGCCGAGTTCTGTTTTAGATCTCCTACCGATACAACATAAAATTAAAGAGAGAGGTCTGTTGGGGAGTTAAAGAAATGGTACCAGAACTTACATGTGACAATAAAAAAAATGTGAGGCATCACAGAGAAATGGTCATTTAAATTAGGAGAAATATTAACTTTCTGGGGGAGACAGAGTAGGAAAGCTATATTAGAGATTAGGAAGAGGGCTGGGCATAGATAGTCCTTTTGGGAGAGCTGTATCATAGAAAAGAGTTTCAAGCAGAAATTAATAGTATCAATTACAGAGAACTCTACTGATTAAATGACCTCTCAAAAAGATGGCAATTTTTTTCAAACACTTTTTTTTAAATATGTTTTTATTGATTTTTAGAGAGGGGATGGAGCATCATCGATCGCTGCCTCCTGCATGGCTCCTACTGGGGATCATAACCCTAGGCATGTGCTCTAACTGGGAATCAAACCGGTGACCTCTTGGTTCCTGGGTCAATGCTCAACCTCTAAGCCACACCAGCTGGGCAAAGGTGGCAATTTATAACCACCAGCAGCAGCTGTAGAAATGCTGTTGGAACTATAGTAGATTATCATTGGGAATGGAGGTTATGTCAAGTTAGGAGGTCCGTAAGGGTCTAGTGTTTAAGGTGAATCCATTACTCAGCACATGGCAGTACAGGACAGGACAGTGCAGACATGAAGCCAGAAGAATGCATGACTCAGCACTCATGGCAGTACAGGACAGTGCAAGATGAAGCGAGAGGGATTGATGACTCAGCACTCAGGGCAGCACAGGACAGTCCAGAGATGAAGCCAGAAGACTTTCTGTCCAGATGGGCTACTGAGAAGCTGCATGGCCTTCAACAAATTGTCTAAGCTCTAAAATAGAGTCTAAATAAATCACCATGTGTCCATCACCAGAACCTGTGAGAAATAGATACTATACATGTAAGTACTTTGTTTACAGCCTAAACATTGTTTTTCCAGTTAGTATTTGAACAAGTTTCCTTTACTCTTTATATAAATAGAGCAAAATGCTCAAGAATACATTTTTGACTTTTTTCTTTCAGAATGCTTTTTAAAAATGATTCTTTTTAAGAAATTTAAAAGTAAAATTTATATTTGATTTAGGTTCATCAAGTTGAAGAAGAAATGCGTGGACTTCTGCAAGAAAACTGCAAGAACAAAAAAGCACTGGAAGCAAAAATTAAGCATCTTGCTTTTGCTGTAAACGAAATTCATCAGGTCTTGTGATGGTTCTGAGAACAAATTCAATTGAAATGGACCAGCAGACCAATTGTAAAAATGATTAAATATTGTAACAGTAGTAACTGCTATGACTTTGAAATGTCTCTTTCTACCCATTTCATTCTGATTTTTAAAAGACTTTTGAAAAAGTATTTAATTGTATATGTAGCTTTTTATAATAAATTGTTGATAATTATGTGTATTAGAAAAACCTATCCAAATAACTAGACTTAAGACACTTCTTGTTTCTGTACTATACATTCTTTGGTAATTACACTTTGCCTAAATATGTAAATGGAAATTAAGGTTAGCCTTTGATATATTAGGGAAATTATTTTAATAGTTGCCATTGCCTTATTGTATTGATGAAGAATTAATTCTATTTCTTGGTTGTCCTTTAGTTTATGTAGCTCCATTCTTTCAAAATGCTCATATGAAGAGCCAAAAAGTATCTGAGATCTGTATGGTCAGAGATGTGGCACTCGTAAGAAAGCATGTCACCATTTCCTCACCCTTCATAATGACCCCTTTTTTATAATGCATATGACTTTCATTAAAGATTACATTTAAGGTTTATAAACATTGTCTGTTCCAGAGGAACACTACTGTTCCACCCTTATTTTTTCATTTCCCCCTTTAGTCACTGTATATATGAAGAGAATTCTTATTTTGCAGCTGGAAACTGTTTTCTTCCATTCATCCAGTCATTTATTACTGTATCACTTTTGTCATCTTTTATGTTCCTGTGTATATAAAACAAGAACCTAAGTACTATCCTCCTCACTGTTTTTGAAAGAGAATATAATACTATGCTTTTAAGTAATAGCCAGTGACGTTTTAAAAGTTAAATGGAAAAATATAAATGCTTCTAAAAGAGGGTCCATGCTTCACTTTAGGAAGCTTCACACTGACACCTGTGGGACAGCATTGAACATACTAAGGTGTATGGGAGTTGGGGAGGAGAGAGCATAGAAATAATTTGGGAGAATAATAGCTAAAAACTCCCTAAGTTTGATGAAAAAAGATCAACTTACAGATCCAAGAACTTCCATAAAACCTAGGATAAACATGAAGAGAAACACTTAGACACTTTATAGTCAAACTGTTGGGAAAATCTTGAAAACAAGAAAATATGGTTTATCTCAGATGAACAGTATGACTAACAGTTGACTTCTCATGAGAAACAGTGGAGACCGGAAGGCAGTGAATGACATATTCGAAGTATGGGAAGACAGAAATCGTCAATCAAGAATGCTGTCTCCAAAACTATCCTTCAAAATAAAGACAGAAAATGTATTGCTAGCCAAACTAATGGAAAAGAAATGTTAAAGGATGAAAGGAAATGATATCAGACAGTAACTCATATCCACTGCAAGAAATAAAGAATATTGGAAACATGAAGAACTCTACAGACCTGTTTCCCAGCAAAATAATACTAACTGGCAAAGAGTTTTTTAAAATACCATTTAGTCTCTGAAAACTGTCCTGAGAGCATACAGCAGTGAAGACATTTATTGAAGAACATTTACTGAACCTGTCAACAGCAGAAGCCTGAGGCACCGAGACATAGCTATCTCCTAATACCTCCCACCCAGCCTGATGGGAGTTTCGTAGTGGATGGCTGTGGCCAAGAAGATAGGTGCCCCTCCGACCCACTCCATCAGTCACCAGGGAGGGCAAGCTGACAGCCTTAACCATGAGTCCAATGAGCCAGAAAGACTCAAGCTACTACAATCAGGAATGGAAGCAAGGACATACTGGGGTGGGAGGAAACCTTGGGAGTTGATTACTATGTTTATGGTCGTGGCAGTGATAAGTTTATGGTCTAGACTTAACCCCACTCATTGGGTTGAATAAATGTTTTACATGTCAACAGAGTCTCAATAAAGTGGTTTAAAAAGGAAAAAAATTCATTGGCAATGACATTCCAAAGAACAAACTTGTTAGGTTAAATTTAACAAAAGTGTTAATCTTATACTCTGACAAGTACAAATCGTTGAAATAAGCTATTCATACATCGGGAGACTATTGTTAGATGGTCATTCTTCCAAGTTTATTTAGTGATCTAGTGCAACCCTTGTCAAAACCCGTTAGCCTGTTTGCAGACCTTTCTAAGATCCCCAAATTGATAAATTCAAAGGACCTAGAGTAGCTAAATCCATGTTGAAAGAGGAAAAGTTGGGAAATGCACATTTCTGGTTGAAAAACACTAGAAATCCCAGTAATTTGAGTGTGTTACACAAAAATGGACAAGCAGGTCAATGGGATCCAATTGTATGGAAATAACCCACGTGGCCGGGTGAGGCCGCCCTACTGGGACCAGAGGAGCTGCGGGCCAGGCCGGTGGGCGGGGACTCTGGCTCCGCCCCTGTTCTCGGTCCCGCCCCTTTCTCCAGTCCCTCTTCCTCCTCCGCCACACCCACCGCCAGCGCGTCGCCTGGCAACAGCGGCTGGCGTCACTTCCGGCCATTTAAACTCGGCGTCGGCGGGGCGCACTCGGGGATGGCGGCGGCTGAGTCCGCGACCTCG